CAAAAATTAATATAAGACACTGTCTTATTTTCGGGGAAACAGGGTATAAATGTATCCACATCATTCAGTTGCTACTACGGATGACAGAAGAGGGGCCAAGGAGTGAATGGTTCATGAAGACTGAATTACCTTCTAATACAATATGGAGAATGCTGAATTCCTATTACCCATACTGTGACTGTTCTGTGAAGTTCACCAATATGCATGGTGTGAGCACAAGGGCTATGCTTCACTTAATTTTTCAAAATTGGGCTTAAGTAGCACATAGACCTTCTGGTCCTCTAAACATTGGTGAACCTAATCCTTTATGAGGAGGACTTCAGTCTTCAAAGTCAATTTGGCATCCAGCAATAATACTCTTAAAAAGAATGTTCATGTAAACTATATGAAAGCAGGGTAGAAACTGACCTGCAGTAGCACACTGTGATGCGCTTGTTGCTTTAACACTTTTCTAGTAGTACATGATCAGTAATTACACAACCTTTCAAATGGAATTGATGAAATGAGTGCAGCTTTCCTAGTTATTGTGCCTTGTGACCTTCACTGTTGGCTGTGTGTGGACGCATGAAGACAATTTTTTTCATCTGTGCTGTTCACAATATACACATTTGATTTTTAAAGTGATATGCTATTTCAAAATATAAACTTTGCTTGGAAAACCATTACCTCTAAGTTTTAAAATCCCTTAGCCCTTTTTATACTCTGGGGAGAAAAAGGATACAAATTGTGCAGAAAATAAAGACAGTTTTGTTTCGCCCAACTTCATAGAGCTGGCTTCATAACTTATGATTCTTCATTATTAAAACACTTTAAAAGTGTTTAAAAAGAACCCACTACTTTTGATACAGTTGAGGGGTACTGGTGTCCTCTGAACTCTGAAAAAGATAATTTAGGTTTATATACCAAAATGTTAGTATGGCGGCAGTACCTTGTCCTATATTATCTTGTGCTGTGATCTAATTTGATATTGCATGCTGAGCAGTATGGACAGTATGTGTATGGATGGAAGACCTCAAAGGAAAACCTAGGTGCCCCATGAAATTACATTGCTGATTCAATAGGTGGCCTTTGTTCCTGAGTGTTGGTGTGGACCCAGTATCTCACCATGGTGTTGAGGGTAGCTTATGGTAAACTGAGTCACATACAGTGTTGCTGTGTACTGTTGTCACTTGCCATTGGGAGAAAGTGTTGATTCCTATATTAATTAGGCTCTTTTAGGACAAAGACTACATAAGTATACAATGTAAATCTTAGCATAATTCCATACACAAGTTGCCCAACTTTAGGGGGTCAGTAAGCAAAATAAACTCTGAATATATATGGTCTATGCTAAGAATGTTTCTAAACAAGTGCTCGGTTAATCATAACTTTAATGTACTTAAAGTTACGTTTAAAAGGCTTCTGGGGTGTAATTTAAAAAAAAAAAACTAACAGGCTGGATAACTTCACTTTTAAAGGGTTGAATGAAAATAGGGGGAGAACATGTTATCTTGCCCTAAACTTATTTGTATTGTGGGTCATTTGCTTTGTTAGTTGCTTACGTGATACTTTTAATGCAAAATACAATAGACTTCATATGGGAGTGGGGGTCTCTTCCAACTTTATCTCACATTGATTCATCAAGAACATTCTTTGGATGAATTAATGAGACTTCTAAATCTTCTACATACTCACTGTTGGACAACATTAGTCTTAGATGTTTTTATATAAAACAGCATGCACCTCTGTGGTGCTGCTTAGGATAACTTGTATAAAAACAACTTTTTTTTTTTTAATGTGCTTTAAATTTTAGGTCCAGGTTTTCTACTAAGCTTAGCTTCAACTGGGTACAGTTGAGTAGAGGGGTGTTAGGGACACAGTTGCAGCTCCCTGATTCTCTGACTGGTTTTATGTCAGGTACAGTCCCTGCTAAGTTGAGAGTAGCCTCAAGGCTGCTCTGAACACTAGTCAACAGTGTTTCCAACGGACAGTCTTTTAGTTACGTATTTCCAGAGTGCAGCATACTCCAAAATGCCCCTATACTGGGGCTGCGTGGGGTGGGGAGTAGGAGTTGGTTGAACTGACTCTGTGCCTGTTTGAGAAGGTATGAGCAATGCAATGGAAGTGGAACAAGCCAGAGAATCTGGCCCTAATCTGTAAAAGGTCAGTCTCATTCTACACATGGAAACTCCTACCACTCCAAAAGAAACCTTTAAGAGCCACTTGGCTTTTCTGAATTCGCTACAGTCTGAGACATCTTAAAACCTTTTTACATCAGCAGTAAAGTGCATTGCGTCTAAGAGGAGCTGTGTGTGTGTAGGCTTCATTTTTACACCATGGCAAAGTTAAGACAGCAATAGTAGCATTGTAACGTTGGATCCTTTCTAGTTCTCATTCGGAGACCATATTAATTATTTTTTTCCCCTAAAACTTTGTAGGTAAAAGAAGATACAACATTAAGCTGTGGAAAACTTTTACAGACTGTTTTAACTGTTTACCAATTGCAGCCATTGTGGATGAGAAAATATTCTGCTGTCATGGAGGTATGTGGTGCTTCTCTAGTGGTTACTCAAGTGATTGCTAATCCCTTACCTCTAGGTGTGCTAGTTCCATGTTTGTGTTTATGCATCTTGCATAGTTGGAAAATGACTCCCTGTTGGTTTAATCCTCGTTGCTGAAATTCTGGGACTCCTGTTCTCCCAGGGGGAATATGGGAGGCTCAATTCATGCACTGAGCTGGATATTGAAGGTTGAGGTTGAGCTGGATATTGAAGGGTAAGTTAAGTAAACCAACCCTAAATAGTTGTCATGCAGCAAGTTCCAGAGCTTGTATTTTTAGGCATTGAAATACTTAATTGAGCAAGTAGTTTAGTACCATTTGGGATATATGGCGGTCTGCTTTTCCTGTTCTGCACTCCCCTCTCCTTTCAAATAGACAATCTATGTAATTTGCCGAATAGATGGTCTGAGTCCTATATAGATTCTACAAAGGACAATAAATTCCTGGTCCTTGGGGGGGGACCCCCAGGACATGCCAAGGGGTTAACCTACACCTAAAACTCAATCTTACCCTTTTTGAAGTGTACTTAGGTTAGGTTTTTTACAGCTGTTTATACCACTTCAGTAACTGAATGGGTCTAATGTATAAAACAGTCCACGTATCTCAGCAGTGATACATGGCCTATTGCAACTCTTGGTATCTGTCTATAATTTGCAACAATTATAGCTTATCTAGATACTACAGTGAAAAATAGTATGAATATTACTTATACTAAGTTACTGTAACACTATCTCCCCATCTTAGTATTTCATGTTACTATGCCTGAACAATCTGACAAGTACAGTATTCTTTCTACTATTTAAATATCTTTCAGTTTGTCTTAAAGGCACACTTTGTAGGGGTTCACAAATATTAAGCAGTGAGAATGATGTATTATTCTGTAAAATGCGGAAGTGACCTTTCTCATCCTTATACCTAAATATGTGAACATGCACAATAGGCAACTGTTTCTGCTAAATCGTAAAGCTGTGAAGACAAGTCACTTACACCTCTTTGTGGCATGGTGTGGCCCTTCAAAGTACCCTGCACTCAGTTCCCTTCCTGATTCTCCCAATAATTCATTTACAGCCTGGGGTACTTAAAGTAATGTCCCCCTTCTTGGAGTCTAATTTATTAAGTTGTTCTACAATAGTGTGTCTCTTAGCCCTTCACACCCAACCTGTCCCACTTGAGACTTCCAGTTCATGCTTGTAGGCCACTTGGTTCCTTCCCCTTAGTTAAGGGGGTTTTAGCCTTCCTTGTTGGGCTGTGCTGTATTTCAGCAGTCAGGCTTCTCCTCACCAGGCTCCCCCCACCCCCCATTTCTTCTTCTCGTTCCCCCGCCCCCCAACAGTTGGGCTTTATCCTGTTCAAGAGGTACCTGTATAACACCTGGTGGTCATTTGCTGGCTTGCATGCCACTCCTTTGAACTTTTTTCCTTAATGAGGCCATGTCATGGAATAGGGTTGGCTGGCTCTGGGCCCCACTGCTTCTTGATGGTGACAGACCACCCTGTTACAGAGAGCTTTTAAAATTGGATAAAAATCAAGAATCACCATAAAACTTTATAGATACTAATCGCCACCAGCAAATCAATAAGATGGACTTTAAGACTTTTTGTGTCTTAATAGGTGATTCAAAATGTTTGTTAATGTGTGGAACATACTTTGAGTAAAACACTAATCATTTATACATCTTAAAACTCCTAACAGGCCTGTCGCCAGACCTTCAGTCAATGGAACAGATTCGGCGAATTATGCGCCCCACTGATGTACCAGATCAGGGTCTTCTTTGTGATCTGTTATGGTCTGACCCTGACAAAGACGTCTTAGGATGGGGTGAAAATGACAGAGGAGTGTCCTTCACATTTGGTGCTGAAGTGGTTGCAAAGTTTCTCCATAAACATGATTTGGATCTTATATGTAGAGCTCATCAGGTATTTTAATTTTACAAGTACAATCCATGGCCCTGATCTCCCAGTGGGATCCTAGTGCCTCAGCAGAGTCCCATAATTTCATTGCTATTAGATCACACTGCAGGAGTGGGCCTTGTATCCATTCTTAATTCTGTTTTGATCTACTTAGTTTAGAACTTCTGTTGTCTAGGCTTAAATGGCTCTTCCACAGCTGTCTGTGATACAGTCATACCATCTCACAGCTGTATGTGGGCTAACTTAGATGCATGTCATTTGAGAAATAGTTATATGACTGGTAAGAAATTATTCTACTCTAATAGAGCTATTTTTCTATTAAAGGTGGTTGAAGATGGGTATGAGTTCTTTGCAAAAAGGCAATTGGTAACTCTGTTTTCTGCCCCAAATTACTGTGGAGAATTTGACAATGCTGGTGCCATGATGAGTGTGGATGAAACTCTAATGTGCTCTTTTCAGGTACAGTACCTTAAGATTTTGCCCTTTAATGAATTTGCTTTTTTATTAATTAAAAAAAGTACTATTATAGAAATATTTCTCACTGCAAATAGATTTTTACAAATGTGAAAGGTGGCTGGAAAGGCTACATTCAGTTCAGTCACCCTTTCTCTTCTCAGAAAGTATTTAGGTTCTGTCCACATTGACATAAAGTAGAGCACGCTTCTCACCCTGAATTAGATTTTTCCAACTGAAGTCTCATCTGTTTCCTGACTCTTACTGTCATGTGATTCCAGATCATCTGGTCTAGTACTAGCATAACTGTTAGGTGGGCAGGGAGCACACTACTCCTAGCATTGAGCATGCAGAGTTGCTGGCTGACATTACTCATAATGGTCACCTGTATGATGGTTTTTACAAGCAAATTAGCAGATTGGCTGGCTAGTTATTTGCTGGCTAAATCACCATAGTAAATGACTGAATTGTCTTTTCAGATTTTGAAACCTGCAGAGAAAAAGAAGCCTAATGCTAGCAGACCTGTAACGCCACCAAGGGGTATGATCACAAAACAAGCAAAGAAATAGTAAATTTGGTACTGCCTAGTTGGGACTTGTATTATAGTATATAACCTCCATTTTTAAAACTGTAACGTGTACTGTTCAGCTTGCTCAAAATAGATAACGTGTTTGTGGTTTTTCATTTTGATTTAATGAATGACATTTGCTGGTTGTAACAGCAAATGAAAGACTTTTCTCCCCTCCCAAGAAGAGTTTTTAAAACTTCCCTTATGTCGGTGTTACAGCTGTACACTCCACAGCATCTTATCCTGTCATTATGGGTAATTGTACAACTGACTTTTTTGAATCTGTACAATGAGTAGTGTAAATGCTTGTTTTCTTCTTTAGGAACTAAAGAGGGCACTAGTGTGCTGTGAGATTAGAAATTTGTTACTGTCTGAAGTTACATACTGTTTATACCACTGTGAACTTTTTTTACTTTAAAAATTTGTTTTAAAGGGATTGCTTTTCTTTTAATGTCTTGTCATGTACACATTAGTTTTATTGCTGTCAACATAAGAAATAATCCTCAACCTGACCAGCATCACTGGTATGATGTATATTTAATTAAAGCACACTTCCCCTCCCATATGCTTTAAATGAAAATTAAAGCCATTATTTTAAATGTTTGTGTCTCTTTCCTGAAGCCAAAGTTTCTGTTTAAAAAGCTGTATCTACACAACCCATCAAGATGAATTGGCAGGGCTTTACATTCATGCCTTTCTCTTGGAGATAAAAGGAAGTTTTGACTTTAAATAGCAAGTTGTAATGCTGTGCTGTTTGTGCTATTAATGGTAAAGGTAAACAACGTTTTGTACAATTTCAATATATTCTATTGAGTGAACCTTCTTACAGTTGCAGCTGTCTTGTGGCAGCCAGTTCCAGAAAGCAGTAACTTGTGGAAATGGTTCTGGATCTACCTGAGAATTTGTCCATTTCTGGCCTAAAACTTGCTTCTGCAAAGAAGCGTAGAAAATAACTTGCTAACCAGCCAAGCACAGGAGTTATTTCTGTTCACCAGTTTATACAAATCTAAGTCTTGTTTTTAAAAACAAAACTGTTAATCTTTTTTTGAACAGATGACAGTGTACAATACCATGTAGTGAAAATAATTCACTTTATTAAATGAAGAAATTGTTAAATCTTCTCAGTGTCTATTTATCAGCACAATACACACCAGAGTTATCAGAAGATTTGGCTAAATTAGATCAATAAATTGATCTGGAAACCCACAAACTCGACTTGGAATTATGTCTGAGCTTCACACACCTGAGGTATGTTTCTAAAGGGAAGGTCTTGATATAGATCCATCATGCTTACCTGTAAAACTTGAGTGCCTCCCAATTAAAAGCAAGATGGGAGAGTTGTGCTGTCAGACTAACTTGCTAGACACACTCCTGTAGATCCAGTATAGTGTACAAGTAAATCTAAGTTCTAAATTTGTCACTGAAAATACAGGCAGCTTAAATATTTATAATGTCTTCCATAGATCAGGATGGCTGCAACACAACTCCTAGACAGTTTTGTTCACTTTCCACTGGAATGGGGAAAGAATGTGCTGTAAGATCTTCCTGCAGCTTTGAAGTGTGCTATTTTGCTTTCCCCTCAAACTTCAGACTCGTTGGAACTCCGCCCCCAGTTTCACCTTTGCAACCCAAAACTTGGCCTCATATCTTCAGTAGGCTTTACTAGTATAATGGTATTTCCATTTAGTAGCAGTATAATCTGAGAAGGAATGTAGGTTTATAGTTAAACCCAAAAGCTTTAAATGATAGTAAATTCCTGGTGATGAAGTTCCCAGATAAGAATGCTAATGGGGAAAATACACCCCACACTTTTTCTGAAAGAGCTTGCAAAGTAGGATTTTAAAAGTAGAATAAACTATTTGTCCTTTATCGCCAGCCTTCTTTCAAACAGCTTTGTCGGGAAGAACTCTTATCTCATATCTAAGTCTATGGTTATCTGGCTGTGTAATTACAGAACAAGTCTCCATCACTGTGAATGTTAGATTCATAGATTTTAAGGACAGAAGGAATCATTAGATCAAGAGTCAGACTGAAGAACTTCATTGTTACCCCAATCTGAAAGGGATTATATGATGGGGGTTGGCTGTGATAGCAGGGGACTGGACTCAGCAGATAGGACTGAAGGGATCATTGAGCCCAATAACTTGCATTTGAGGAAAGCATATATTTGAGAGAGTCATCTAATCTTGATTTGAAGACTCCAACAGATTGAGAATCCACCACTTCCTTGGTGGCTTGTTCCAATAGCTAATCACCCTAGCTGTTCGCAATAAGGCAAAAAATTTAACTTTAATTTGTCTGGTTGTAACTTCTAGCCATTGGCTCTTGTTCTGCCTTACAGATACCTTCTCCATAAGAAGCAGTAGTGACAGGTTTTTTTTCCCTGGTCAATTTTGTATAAGGAAACTTGTACCAAGGCACGGTTCTTATGCCATGCCCATCATGGTAAGTCTTTGCATCTACTGAGGCTCATCACTTCTCCCTGTTATGCCCTTCAGCACGATCTCTGTTTACACCCGTCTAATGGGATAAAGTGCTAATACAGGAGTAATATGGTGAGCACTAGCTAAGACAGTTAAAATATAGTCTTAAATATTGCATGTCCCTGTTGAGTATTGCTCAGACTTGAGCTTGTCTCTTACTAGAACACATGGGAACCAAGAATGGAGGCTTCTTGCTCCTATCTTTAAGTTAAATAGATGGCCCCATAGTGCCCTATCACACAGCCTTACTACATCACAGATGGGAGCCATTTGCCTGATGAGATTTCCTCCAGTAGAGTTGGGTCATGTAGCCCTGGCTTAATGTGAGTCAGAATGGAGATTTGATTAGGAAAATCTCAGGGTGAAGTTCCTATCATACCACATGTGTTTTAACCTTGTAATATTTACAACTTATTTTCTACTCGCATTGAATAGGGGAGTAGAAAATAAATCCATTTAGTCTCTGTGGACAAAATTACAACTCTGGTTGATAAAGGCAGCTATGTTGATGTATACATGGACTTCTTGAAGGCCTGTGACAGCACTGGTAAGACTGCTACAAGAAGACTTCAAGAATGTGGAAATAGTGGAGAAAGCTCAAAGGAGGATAACAAATGTTATCCAAGACCTGGAAAATTAGTCTTAGGATGTGAGGCTTAAGGAGCTCAATTTATGCAAAGAGACGGTTAAGAGGTGGCTTGATTAAAAACATGTACTGTAGGTACTGACACATGCAAGATATCTAATGGGGGGAGCTCTTCACTTGTGTTGACAGACATAACCAGGCCAACTGGCTGGGAGTTGAAGTTAGCCTTGAAATAAGATACCATGTCCTAGAAGTGAGGATAATTAAACATTGGAATATCTTACAGCAGAGGTGGAGTCACCATCACTAGAGAGTTTTTAAAATTAGATACCTTTCTAAAAGATGTACTTTCCTACAGCTTGTATGTGCAGGAGCTTGGGCTAGTCCTGGGTGTCCTTTCAGGCCATGAGGTCCTCCCCATCACCTTTCCTTCATGACCCATGAGGAGAACAGGATTGCCTGCATTGCCCTCAGTACACTTACAACACTGGCAACTCTGCATTGACAATGCCTATAATCAAAACTTAGGCTTCAGCTGGTTACCTGCAGCAGTCTTGAAAGATTTTTATTTTTATGCATAATTGGCAACATGTATCCAGGGTGTGTTTTACATTCCTTGAAAGAAACAAATTCTCCACGGATAAAGATGGTGTGCCAGACGTGGTGGGCCTTTCCTTGAGGTGGGTACAACAAATCTTATCCTATTATGTAGATGCCTGCCTGGTGAGTCTTGCTCAGGGTGTGACCAACCTTCCCCCTCCCCACTAAAGAGGTACTCCTGGCGACTGTTCAAAGGCTGGGGGCATAGCACTGACCCTGTGAATCTGTGACAGCTGCCCCCAAATAGTCTCTCAGTCTTAAACTGACTGCCAGATTTTGAATCTGGAAGAAATTTCCCCCCAGGTCAGACATAGATGTTGGCAGTTGCTTCTCTTCCGCTGGAGCATGAATTGACTGCTAGGATCATCTGGGCATATTTCACCTAATCGGTTCTCTGCTATTGCAGGGGCCTAAGGCAATGGTGACACTGTGGTGTCTCCTGTTTTCTGCCTGTGGCACACAACAGTTTAACCTTTTAAGGATTTGGAATGCTTTAGTCTAACTGAAGTCAATAGGCTTAATATAGGGTTATCTGGGTGAAATTCAACAGTGTGATAGAGGTCAGACAACATCTAATGGTCCCTTCTGGCCTTAAATTCTATTAAACTATGAATTAGGGAACTATAACTACTGGAAACTCCAGTCCCCAAACAGTAACTTCCTGTATCTCCTGGAAATTACATTTTTCTACTATGAACAAAACTTCTGTAACAACATCTGCCTGGAACTGGTCACTTGGCTCATGTTTAGTGTCTAGGATGACTGACTGATTATTGCCACCAAGAGCAACAAGGAAGATAAATTATTCTTTACTAAAGACACTACTGAAAATGAGTGGGGTGGGGAGGGAAGAAATAATCTATAAACCAGGATATATGATGCCTAATAAGGGAACTAAAATAAGTAACAATGCTGCTTACCAGATAGAGGAACAGTTTCTCCTAAAGTTCATCTTAAAGAGCAAGTATATCTGTAACAATCTAGAATGTGAAATAATCCGTGTATTCTAAACCTCAGTAACTGAATTTTAAAATCCTAAATTATTTGGAGATTGAAAATACAAATGTTCTGTTCTTTGACAGTGAGGGTAAATGATAAAGTTGTTTTGTATTAGGAGTTTTAAAATGTACTTAAAGATACCTAGTACCACTGTTGTGTGTGGGTTTCCTTCATCTTGGGACAATGGTGATTTCAGTGGCCCTAACTATTACAAAGTTAATTATTTCAGGATTTGCAGGTGTCACTGGTGGCTTGTAATACTTATTTCCATCTACATATGCTCTAAAGGTTACCTCCTATCCAGACCTTACTATAGTTCATGCTTTTGTCATCTCCAGGCTCAATTAGTATGATTCATTCTAGTCCCAAGTGCTCTTGACTTCATTTTATGCAGAATGCTATAGTCAGCTTAATCTTTGCTATTAGACTGGCTACTGATAATTTCTAAGAGTAGTTCAGAGTGCTGGTTATCTATAAAGCCCTGCATTTTCTGGGCATGGGAGAAGCTTCCCCTTGTGTCTTGTTAATGACAGTTAAGAGTAGCTTGCAGGTTTGTGCTGTCAGTTCCTGATTAAAAACTGCAATGTCTTCACTTCCTCTTGTGAAGAGCCAGATTTGGGCAGTCACCAGACCCCTGAACAAGTTTATTCCTACGTGACTCCGAAGCAGTTTAAGTAGCTTTGAAGTAGCAAAATAGGGAAGTTAGATTAGTTACCTGGTGATGGGGAGGACCTCATGGCCTGAAAGGACACCCAGGACTAGCCCAAGCCCCTGCACATACAAGCTGTAGGAAAGTACATCTTTTAGAAAGGTATCTAATTTTAAAAACTGTCTAGTGATGGTGACTCCACCTCTGCGGTAAGATATTTGATTTCAGTTGTGTACTTTCTAAAACTACTGTTTTGAAATGGGTCGGAAAGAAGCACTAGCA